TTACTATAATGTAAACCCAAGGTGTAAGGGTTCAAAAAAATGACGAAGTGCTTCGTTCGAGAAAAGGTAGTTAGTCCCCTTGCGCTTCGCTTGGCTCGTCTTGGCGGTGGCACTACCGTGCCCCCAGATAGTTCATTTGGTTACTTGGAACTTGAATTTGAAATTCTGTTTTAGTAAAGTGAGTCATACTGAAATTTTCTTGTTAAAGTATAAATAGTAAAATTAATTATTGTATGTTTTTGACCGATTTGTTCAAAAGCTGTTTTTTCTTTGTGTTATCCCAGAACTCTATCATTTATTTATCGATTTGGACTATTTTTATTTTATTTTAAAGTGTATACTGCCAATTTGGTCCCATTTAAATTAGAAAAAAAACTACAACCCATATAGTTGGAAAAAATAGCTAATGAACATGTTACCTACTTCTAATTGTCATAATAACGTGGAGCGTTAACAAACATACTTTACACATAAAAATGGTAGTCGAATAAGTAAGTTGTTTTATTTAAAATGAAAAAAGAAATATAGCTATTTAATATTTTAAAATATATTTTAAGAAACACGCTTTTGAAAAATAATATAAAATAATACTAGAAACTAAATTTATTTTTAGATTATATTTTCTACCTGATACCTAATGTACCTAATCAATTCTGTATTTACATTCTCATTTTATCATTATATGCTGTATAAAACTTTAATTGAATAATCGTTCGTCGCTTGAGCACGATCCTTGCTACTAAGAGCCGAGAATATAATAAAACAGCCATGAAGTTAAATTCAACTATCAATTTCACAAGTAGGTAAAGCGGGGCTAAAAGGTCCGTGACTAAAAAGGTCCACCATTGCTATTTCCCAAAATAATGCTCCGTCAGAGATTTTGAGTACCGTTGTTAGAGGTGCTTAAGGGAAGGGAACGTACCCCAGGCCCAAGATGCATTGTGACTTCTGAATCACTGCTCAGACTGTACGCGCTTGCGGCTCAAAAAAATCACGTAAGTAGTTTTTTCTAGTCTTATCTATTAATCTATACTAATATTATATAGAGGTAAAGTTTGTGAATTGTGAGTTTGTGACGTTGTAGGGGGTAATCTCTGGATCTACCGAACCGATTTAGGTGAAATTTGGTAAGATAGTTTGAGACCCTGGGAAGGACATAGGATTTATCACGGAAACCATCCTTTGAGGGGTTGAAAATGGGAATGAAAATTTACATGGGGAATCAACATAGGGACAAACCCGAGCGAAGAGAGGGTGAGTCGCTAGTAGCTTATAATATACGGTTTTAAGTACCTACAACAATTGTTTTCTCTTTTAATATATAGATTAAAATTTTGTGCATAACCTAAAACTCAACTTGTGGCTCATTGCAGTAAAAAGGTCTATATGTGAACTTTTTAGCCCCAGAAAGTCTATGAATTAAATCTCGTATTTATCATTTTTGAATGCGGCATTACAAATGGAAATCTAAACGAGGTATGGTAAGTCCAACGAATTAATGCAGCGTACATCTGGTTTAGTCCTGAATATAAACAAATTGCTGCGTGATGTTTGTCGTAATTAAGAGAAGTTTTATTGTAGCACGTCTAAAAGAAAATCCTGAATCATAAAGATTTGCTTATGGGACTTCAAAATATCAAAAAGTTTTTGCAGACATTAAAAATAATAAAAAAGAACAAGAAAAAAATAAAAATCCTTTTTTTTTGGAAATATGTCGAAAACTTTGAGGTTATTATAATAGTCGTAGATTTTTACTAGACCTACAACTTTTGTAAAGAATATTTTTCGATAAGATATCACAACAAGCCAGAAATCGAAAAAAAAACAATTTTAAATGGTTTCCTATACTTGTCCTGTTTGCTATAAACGTCTCAAAAAACATAAAACTTCCAGTTTTAATTTTTTGTGTAGCACATCGCGATCGGACTATTTGTATAGCGCTATTTAAATTAAAGAATAACTTAATAACGAATAAAAACTTAATTTATTTCGAATTAGGTACTTAAAAAAATTGTATTATTCCTTCTTTTCTTAGACTTCAAACTTCTCTAAAAAGTATATTATACTCACACTTGCTCAAATTTTTCATGGTCTAGGTCCCAGAGATATTAAACGCCTGGCTTATGATTGCGCTGTTGCAATATAATTGAAAAATTCCACAGACATTCAATCTGTCCCAACTATTTTTGTTGTATTCCAACAAAAATAGTTGGGACAAATTGGATGATATAATTGTTGGCGAGAAATGGCCATCCCTCTATTAGACAACTAAAGGCTATTAGTATGAGTAGAACTACATAGTTCAATTGAACAAATATCAGTGAGTATTTCGACAAATTAGAGCAAGTCATGGATCGTTACAAATTTAGAGGGTCATCTATAGGGAATGCCGATGAAACTGGCATTACAACTGTTACTAAAAATACGAAAGTAATTGTGACTTAAGGAAAAAGAAATATTGGATCTGTAGTATCAGCTGAAAATGGAACCAAAGTAGTTTTTCTGGTAGCTCTTTCAGCAAATGGAGCTTCTGTATCGCTGTTATTTAAATTTCCAGGAAAGAAATATCAAGACTAAATCATGCGAGATAATGCATAGTGTGGGCCTTGGATCAAAAATCAAACTAAAGAATTGTATACTATGCCATAGTTTGAAGCTTGGTAACAAATATGAAAAATAACAGTAATAAATAAACAGTTGATTTTTGTAATAAATATAAAGAGCCTGTTGATGATACCGAATTTTATTCTATTTATTTTCTTTTATCAACTAAAATCTGCTAGTTCATACTCTTTTAGGTCTTTTTAACCCTATCACTGGTCTTTTTTGCCCCCCTAGCCGGGCTTAAAGGACCACTGGAACTACCTTTCTAAATCTTTGCATAATATCTGACAAATAGTCATAAGCTAACTATATTCTTTAGTAATTATGCTTAAAGGAAGGACTAAGCTACTCATTGGTATTTGGATCTTTTCCGGAATCCTTAAAATTAATAGTTACGAGGCAATATTACTAATTTGAACTTTTTAGCCTCGAACTACTTACCTGTGATCGAGCTTAGCTTGTCGTGTTTTTTTTGCAAAAATTTTTTTTTACGGAAAAGGTAAAATAACTATTGAGTTTTTTTAGAAAAGACAGCTATTTAATGGACTTAAAAATCAAAACCTTATGTAAATACAAAATTTGATCCAAATCGTTAAGAGTCATTTCAGAGATACACAAAATAATTTAAATACATATAAGAATTGATCATTTCATATTATAAGAAGATAAAAGCTTTTAAATTTGTAAATGTATTTGTTCTCTAATAACTAATATCAAATAAAGAAACACTAAAATAAACTTAACTTCCCCAATAAACTTAAACTAAGTAACTAAGCTAAATTTTAGATAACTCGTAAACTTTCCCGTCTGAAATAGAATCAAAATGACTATTTACGTCAGTAAGTGAATGGTGATGATGAGTCGCGTCGAATGTAAAGATACATAGAAAATGGACTGAGCGTTCCCTATCCAGCTATAAAGTTAATGTGGCAAAAAAGTGCAAGAGAGACGAAGGGATCGTGCAGCCAGTAGTTGTTTCTTTCTAGAATTTTGATAGACCTACGTCACAGCCTTGCAAGAGCGGATGAATTCTACAAAACAGCTAAAAGCCAAATATATTTTTTTGCATCAATAAGTTGTTTATGCATTTAATTTATAATTTGTTGAATTTACACGTTTCCTATGTATAAAATGTAAATATGTTATAGTTATGTTGAGTGTTTTCTATGAATATATGTTCAGATATTTATATTTATTAGCCATATTTAACCGTGCCACTGCTGAGCACGGGCCTCCCTTCAGTACGAGGGGAATCAGGCCATAGTCTACCACGCTGAGCAAGTGCGGGTTGGCGGACTTCACATGTCTTTGGAAACTTAATAGGTTCTCTCAGACATACAGGTTTCCTCAGATGTTTCCTTTACCGTTAAGACAAGTGGTAATCATGTTGGAAATGATATATGAAAATATCAGAGGTGCGAGACATGGGATTTGAACTCGCTTCACTCGGTTTCCCAAGCGAGCGCCTTACCACTGATCTACCACTGCCTTTTTGATATATTTAAATTGATTTATAAATAAATTTTATCTCTAATTCCTATATCATTTACTTATTTTTATATCTAAAAATTAAAACAGGTACCTATTAGGCGCGCGTTCGCTTTCTCTCTTTCTAAAGAGTGGTCAATTTCATGAGGGTATATATTGCTTAGTCTATTCCTCTATGTGTATGAGTTATTCACAACTTCTGCCACACTTTTAAAAAGTACATTTTTGCCTCTTCTATAAAATTATTATTAAATGATAAATCTTACAATATGACTTATTCTTAATTTTTTTACGGAAAAATAATATATTATTACATTTATAACTAACTATGCAGCAAAAACCTAGTTCTATATTTAAATAAAACCCTATGAAATAGGTATTGTACTGTTACTTTTGTTCCAATTGTTCATATTTATCTATAAGGAAATACAACAAAAAGAATTGTAAAAGAAAGTGAAAGTATAACTTTTAAGTAACAAAGTATAACAAAACAATCATTTAACATTTTAAACTACTTGTCTGTGGCTCATGCCCTTATTCCTTCATAACAATTAAATGTAGAAAAACTTGTTTATGGTAGATATTGATTCTTGTTCTCACGCTTTCATAGATCATTGACTTAAAAATCTTAAACCGTTTATTATTCAATGCACTAGAATTTTTTTCAAAACAAAAATTGATGGAATAGCGTATTGTATTAAATTTTTTATTCTAAAATCAATACGTACATTAATAATTTACAATAATGCTATAAGAAAATAAAATTAATTGTATTGGCGGTAATCGTAAGTATTCACAAGCTTAAATAAACGTACAATAATTTCAAAACAAGTATGACAGTGGGGTAAGAAGGGCACAAACGGATCGCTGCGAGAATGAGATGGGGCGAGTGAACGTAGCGTTCATTGATGCGCAGGCGCCGCGGGGGACGGCGGGCGCGGGCGCGGAATGCGGCCGCGTCGAGCAATGACCGCGCCAGGGTCGCTTCCTTTACGAGAAACGCGGGCCGTCGTACTACAGCCGACGCCCGCACCGCTCCCTCCCCGCCGCCATGGCCGTACCGTACTACATGGCCCTCTCGCTTGCGACGCGCGCTTTTCGACCCGTAGTCCGTTAGAAAAATTAAGTGCGCCGCATTCCGCGTTCGCGATCCTCTCTATCGCACACTAACCACGGAATTCTTCCTTTTCATTTTATGGTGCTAGCTCGCAACGACATTCATAGATACCGCCTTTATCTCTCTGTAAGACTATTTAAATGGTCTTCCAATGTTTATACCTTACTACTCATTAAAACTAAGTTTGCTGTTATACTTATCTTTTGTTCTTTTTTAGTACCTTACCTTAAAAACCTAACTTAATTTTATCAGTCACAAGTTACAGTTGCTATTTGCATAAAAATTGACCATCAAGTCATGATCTAAATTATCTTATCTACTTTTATAGGTGGGTACATGTTTAATCAGAATTATGAGGACAAGATATCGAAGTTAGAACAATTTAAACTTATTTCGAAATTAAATTTGACCTTTAATATATGTATGCGGATAATGTACTTAACAGAATCCCGATAATATGCTCAACTCTCTACTTATGTTTTCTTTACTTCCTATTAACACTCAAAATTGGCGAGTGGATAAATTCTAAGACGTAATGCATATTCCAGGCGTATTCAGTATTAAATATTACGCTATGCCTGTACGCCGGATGAAAAGGGCATTATTATCCAATAAACATAGACATGCACGTCATAACCTATTTTTAAAATATATAGTTTAATAGGTATAGGTTAATGTGTAACGTGGCGAAATAATGTCGCAAACATCGACGACAGAAGAGTGAGAGTCTAAGTTTTATTTACACAAATTTATACACATACATGGGGAAAGTAACTTTTATTATTATAGTAGTTAATTTAAGTTACGTAAGTAATACGTATACGTAAGATAATGATAATACGTAAGAAACTCATGGTCCCTTTTGCAGATTTCATATTTAAATTATAAATGTTGTGATTCGTTACTCATTATATATCAAAGGAAATATGGTAGATTTTTTTATTAAAATCACAAATCGATTTTACAAACCAACAACGATTTTATATAAAATTTACTCAATTTATTTACTTCTTGATTTCAATTTTTTTCAATACGACTAAGCCTATTTATACTAATTTGAATACAATCATGAATAGATATTTATTTAATTTATCATTAAATATACAATGATGAAAAAGAACGTACCCATTTTATTTCATTTTTAGTAAGAGATGAATGAACAAGTGAAATTCTGTACCTGGAAAATATTTTCTTCCATACGTTTATGAAAATTTCGGCCCAATTTCAGCCCTGCAGTTTGGTTTCATTTACGAATCAGTTATAATTTAGTTGTAATAGTACGGTGCAATTAGACCCAAACCTCAACATCCAAAGTTAAAGTTTCCCTCCAGCTCCAAATTGTTCTATACAGTCCACATATTGTTTGGTAAAAAGTTACACCATTTTGAGCATTGGCCTTGGAGGGGGAAGGGGTTATAAGTTCGTAAATTATAGTAGTTTTCATCTGTTTTTCTTAAAAATTACGAAATCTTTTCTGTTTAGAGCAAAAAGTGTCATATACAAAAATAATCTAAAACAAATTGTGAACAAAAATGGTTCCGTGCATAATCTTGCTGAACTTAACGGTTCCAGAGTTACGGAGGTAGTACAATGCATTTAGTCTAAAAAACAGCCTGACCTTTACATCCAAAGTAAATGTGTTAAGTTCAGTCATTTTTTTATTGATTAGTGTTTTGTTTTCACTGCATTGGTATCTTTTTCATTAATATAGACACAATAAAAATACGAGTAATTATGGAATACGAGTTCCGTCGCGGCAGCAGTGTCCTACAAACGGCTCACAACATTGTATTGTATGGACGTGTACGGAGTGAACATGACTTATTATTGATTTGAACGCTTCCGACATGTAAATTGTGATCTAAAAATGAACCCCGTGGTCGCCCGAAAACTAAAATCGGCAACGACGAATTAAAGGCGATAGTGGAAGCTGACGATATTTAATGTACGGCTGAGTTAGCAGCAGCTTTCATTGTTAACATGGTCCATTTACGTTCAATTGGCAAGGTAAAAAACTTGATAAGTTGGTGCCGCACGAACTGAGCGACGAACGCGTTGAGGTATGCCTTGCGTTGCTTAACAGACACAGAAACGAAGGGATTTTGAACCGCATTATCACTTGCGATAAAAAAAATGGATTCTTTTTTACACCGTGGTCCAAAATAACGTTGACAAAATAAAAAATAAAAAAATTAAAAATGCGTTCTCTTTTGTTTTTGTTTATTCTTTCTTCATTCTTTGGCGCCATTTTAATATTGTTTTTTGGCTAAAAAGTTCTAAAATATATTTATTACGTTATGTCACAGCAGCGTGGAGCCATAATTTTATTGTATGAGCGTGGAAAACGGCAGTGTGAGATAGTAAACATTCTTGGTGTTAGTCGTCAGCTAGTTTCTTCAGCAATTAAACGCTATGTTGAGCTCGGCAACATTGGAGACCGTCCTGGGAGAGGATGCAAGCGGACTGTTCGAACTGCTAGGAACCAACACATTATCAAACAAAGATTAGTCCGAAATCCACATACCAAGGTGAGAAAAATGTCGCGAGACTTGGGGATAAGTCGCTCCACCGTGCAGCGTATAGTGAAATATGATCTCCAATTAATACCATACAAACTCAGAAAAGCGCAATTGCTTACAGAGAAAGACAAAAAAGTTCGCCTTGGGAGATGTCGTTTGCTTAAACAACGCTCCGCTGCTTCGAATATGAAAAATATCGTATTCTCCGACGAAAAAATGTTTTCGATAGAACAAGCCCATAATCACCAAACTGACAGGATCTGGTCTTCCACTCGTTCTGGAGCTGCCGCAGTCATTCCACGTCGCCAAAACGCAAAATCAATTATGGTTTGAGGTGCAATTTGCGCCACTGGCAAAACTCCTCTCGTTTTTGTAGAAAATGGTATAAAAATTAACCAAGAAAATTACCGACGAGACATCCTTGAATCTGTGGTTATTCCTTGGAGCCAACAGCACTTTGGTAACCATTCATGGATATTTCTACAAGACTCTGCTCCAGCTCACAGAGCTTTAAGTGTTCAACAGTGGTGCAAAAGCAATTTCCCTGATTTTATCAGCTCAAAAGAATGGCCACCCTACTCGCCTGATCTGAATCCAATGGATTACAGTTTATGGTCAATATTAGAGGCAAGGACCTGTTCTACGCCTCATAGAACTGTTGATGACCTGAAGGCTACTCTTACACGGGAGTGGGACAAAATATCTGTTGAGGAAGTGCGGAAAATTGTGGAAAATTTTACCAAGCGTTTGACTCTATGCATTCGCGCTAAAGGAGATTATTTTAATGACAAATAGGGATTCTTGTAAAAAATAAGTTGTATTTTTATAATTTATAGCATAATTTCATTAAAGTTTAAAGTTAATAAAATTATTTGAAAAATCACTTGTCAACGTTATTTTGGGCCACCCTTTATAATCGTAAACGGTCATTACGTTGGTAAGACCCTGGTTCAGTGCCTAGGCAATGCCTCAAACGAAAACTTATCCCTAAAAAAGACATGGTCACTGTTTGGTGGTCTAGTGCCGGTATATTTCATCTCAACTTCTTATCAAATGGCACCAGAATTATCGCGGATGTGTACTATGAGGAACTGGTCAGAATGATGGAAAAGCTCGCAAATCTCTGCCAGCCTTAAGTTAATCGTTCATTCCCGCTGCTTCTAGACGACAACGCTCGACTTCATACGGCACAACAGACAGTCTCTAAGCTACGAGAGCTAAGTTTTGCGTCATCCACCGTACTCACCAGACCTTGCGTCGATAGACTTCTACTTTTTCCATAATTTGGACAACTTATTGGCAGAAAAAAATACAATACCCGAAAGAAAGTACAAAATGCCTTTGAAGATTTTGTTACCTTCAGTACACCTGGTTTCTTCAAGAAGGCCATTAAAAATTACCACTGCGCTGGCAGAGATGCATCGATAGCATGGGTGCATATTTTGATTATAGAACTAGCCTAACCTAACTAAAAGGAGAATAAGATTTTTAGGGGCAAAAGTTTGAATGCAAAAAATATAAAAATATTTTAATGATGTTCTGTATTACTGCATACTCATAATAATAGTAAACTAAACCAGTTTAGACTTTAGAATGATCTATAAAGGCCTGAAGATTTAGTTCTTCTTCTTTTTCCACTCCTCTTCCCAGTTTAGCTGGGGTAGAGTTTACTTGTATAATTGCGCCAGAGAATTCTACTCTGGCTTGTCTGTGTAATCAGGTTGTCCGTCTGCATATTTGACCACCAGATGGTACGTGGTCGTCCTCTTCCTCGCGGGCGGTCAGAGATATTTAGAACTTTATGTTTCGGATGGTCGTCATTTCGCCGGAGGATATTTTGATGATGATTTTGAGGATGATTTTAGCTTTTTAACTATAGCTACCTTAAATGACCCTCTAATATATTCATTTCGAACTTTATCTAGACGCATTACACCTCCCGCCCATCTGAGCCTTCTTATTTCGTTTGTATGCAGTTGTTTTTCGTGTGCCTTTTTTATGCTCCAACACTCTGCTTCATACGTCATGGCTGGTCGTACTACCATTTTTCCCTTCACTCTAATGGGCATGTTGCGCTCGCGGGAGCCTCACCCCTATGTATACCCGCAGATATGCCGGGTTGAAGGGAAATCAAATACCTCCCGCGGACCAACAGGCCGGAGAGGGATACTTCGATATCTCACCACCGCTGCAGGCTTCTTCGAAATAGTTGGAGCAGAGTCTACAGCCAGAGCTGTGCGCCTCGGTTTCAACGTACAGAAGGGAAGGCGGCGGAAGAGCCTGATTAGGGCCAACGGCGGCTCCGACATGTAGAACAACCTAGGCGTCAGGTGGCAAACGGCCTTAACACCTAAGCCACAACCTCAAACTCCTTGTACATAATAGTAAAAGCTTGAAGACTTAGTTAATAAATGATAAAAGTACACACTTGAAATTCATGACTGACGTCAGGGCATGACCCCTAGAATAAAATTAGTCTAAATATGTTTTTTTTATTATTTATAATACCTATGGGCCTATACGATATAATTAGCGCAGTTGTATTAGCATTAACTCGAAAAAAATTCTAGGGGGAATTGTGTTTCCTCAGTTACATTTATTATATTTTATATAACATTTCCCCCGTTTTTCGCCCTTATCGAAAATATCGATAGCATGAAGAAATGAGCAACAAGCAAAATGTAGAGAATTGAATAGTGAACAACTTTAGTCCTTATGATTTTTCTCGAGATATTGATAAAAAATGATTCCCCCTTAAAATCAAGATGTCGAATTTGGTCGCGATTTTAAATTTACACTTCCAGTGACTCCCCCTAAAGACTGGTGAAATAAAATTTTGGTCTAGAATTTTTCGGGGTTAAAGGGTCTGCCCACCATAGCGTATCATACCATGGCCGTGCTATGAACGTGTCAGGCAAAAAAATATTTTTTGTATTGAAAAGTAGGAGACTCTGCCCACTAGACCATTCCGTCACCGACCGACACCGTCGCGTGCCGTGCACGGAGCGTTAACAATTGACGGTGAGAATGTTTTGATGGTGCCGGTACGCTACCTGCCTGGCACGCGAAGTTGCGAGACCGGTGCGCGCAGGCGGCGCAATGGTGAGCATAACCAGCACTAAAACTGTTATGTATGTATGGGTATGATATGCATAGTAGTCCGTGCCATGCTCATATTTTGGACAACCCGACTGGACTAAATATTTTACTAATAGGCCCGGTGCATTATTATTGTATGTACTTTGTATAACTGTATTGTTATATTTTTATCTTAATGTAAAATTGCAACTTCTTTATTATCGTCTAACATGTACATCTTAAAGGTAAACTATGACTACATACTTGATTAGTACGTACCGTAGGAACTCAGAGAATTAAAAAGACGATTAAAGAAAATGGACGGAATCCTTATCGAATTATGTTTGTAGAAAGGTAAAAATAGACCACTATAGTGACAAAAGCGCATGTAATTTTGCGGTAAAAAGATACCAGGATAAAGATAGTGTCTGCCAAGGACGTTTAGACGGTTCTATATGGGCCGTAACGATACATAAAAGGCATTATTTGACAAAATACAATTGACTGTAAGTAAATTAAAATATATAGTTAATCGTTTATTAATATTGTTGTTAGATCTTGAACACCAAAATATACAAAGGTATTTGATCATTTACTTGAGCTATTGGCGCACGATAGCATATTAGTGATTGTTTTTGTTATTGAACGTCACACCTTATTCTGCTTAATTGCTTGGCATACAGGTTTCGTTGTCATTAATTTAAAAAGGAAAACGTACACATAGGACCAGGGTCGATAATTTTTAAAACTAAAAAAAATAATAGTAGGGTGCAACCCATTAGAAAAGGAGAGGAATATTATAAAAATGAAAGGAAAAATAATTTACGGGCGATCTGAGGTCGGGAAGGGGATGGGGGTGAGCTTTTAAGGGTAAAAAACGGTTTTTCTCGATTTCCGGCAAAACTAAAAGTCCTATCGAAAGAAGTCATATGGCAAAGTTGTAGGTAATAAAAAGATCTAAAACTTTTGTATTTATACTTTTTTCACATAACCTCAAAATTAATGTGAAAAATCAAAAAACCAAGTTTTTGGTTTTTTATTTTTATCTTTTACAAAAAAAAATTTTTGTAACGAAATTTGGTGAAAACTTACCTTTTTATGTCCCAAATACGCTGTAATTTATTTGATTAAAAACATTTATGTTTTCACCTTATTTTGAAATAATATCGAAAAAGCACCCTCATTTTCAATCGAAAATTCACCCGTCAAAATATCAGCTTTTTTCAAAAAGTTGGTATGTTTTCTGTTCGTTGAAATCTCTACTTTCCGATGGTGAAAAAAATATATATGTTACTAAAAATATATTTGTTAAAAATGTGTGCACGATGCGCACATTTATTTTGTTGGCCGGCACTCTGAATTTTGGAACCAACTTAGTATAAAAAATGAATGGTCTCCTTTACAGTCTATTAAATCCCACCAAAAATATTTTCGTGTAAAATGTTGCCGAGCAACATATTTTGCCTAAGGTGTAGTTTGTGAATTTAGTGATTGTAGAGTTAGGGCGTGTAGAGTTAGAAGCTTGGCTCTACATGACATCTGATAACTTTTTGACAGTGCGAGCCATACGGTCTCTTCTTGGTAACATTTTACATGAAAATGTTTTTGGTGGGACTTCACTTCTTTTTGTAAGTTGCTTATGACAATATTTTTTTTATTTTGATCATTTTTTCTTTCTTTTTTTGGGGTGTTGTATTTTATTATTTATAACAAAGAGTTCCTATATCAATTTTCAGACCTCAAGCATCATGATTCATATAAACTTCCATCCCCTTTTTTTTAACGTTGGGAAATGCATTTACGCACGAGGTGCGGGACTCACCGGCAAAGCCAGTACTACCCACTAAAACCCAACAAAGCCTTCCCCTGTCTTAATGGGGCGTCGCAGGATCGCTTACGCATTCAACTACGACGCCCCGACGGTAGGTCTGCCGAAGCAGACCACAACAACCACGGGGTTGCTCCAAGGTCCACTCTGCTATCAGAGAAGTACCAGGAGCAACCCGCATGGTACACCGCCCTCCGAAGAGGGCCGCCTTCCATCGCCCACCGAAGTGGGCCACCTCCCTGTGCGTTTCTTGGCTTCGCGCCCGGTTGGGTTGCCGGGCACTACTGAGCCCCCCCACCACGACAAGGTGAACGCACGTTGGGGGGAAAGGCTTCTACCCTGGTCTAACAATTAAATATACATATATTTTTTTGATATTTCGTATGAAAAATATTTTGACATTTATTTTGACTACTAACTTTTTCCAGCAGTGTGTTGTGCATCGAAGTAACCCTTTTAGGAGTTTCTCATTTTATCTAAGTTCAATCACGGTAATATGCATTACATTACCGTAGTTCAATATAATCAACGATACATTTTAGAACTTTTGTAAACTTTTAACGTTTGAATGCGCCATGTCAGAAAAACCGACATCGCGAATCGTTTTATAATTAAACGTACTTAATATATGGTTGGAAGAACCTATTAAATAAATAATTAGACTGTTCAGGCTTGCTTAAAGAGTTTATAGCCGTTAACATTTTAACATTGAAAATGTTATTTTTGTCGCTTCGGTATAATAATAATTTTCAAGGAAAGTGCGACATCGTCCTGGTGTCGTGGGTTTTGGGACTACGTGGCTGATTTGGATTTCAAAAGATGCACCTTGATGAGGGATACAAAATGAAAAAGAATTTTTGAAAAGACCAAAAACTTTTTTTTAATCGAAAAAATGTGTAAAACGGTTTCGGTCAGAAAAAAACTCATATCTCGAAAACGATATGAGATATCGAAAAAAATTAAGAAAAACCCTAGAGATATGACTTTGGCCTATATTTAAAAATTATGGGAGATGCGTATCACTGTATGGTTATTCACAAGTTGTACCTTTGTAACGCGTAGGTAGTTTACGCACGGAGGGCGCGTGAGCGCGGTAGTGACGGTAAATAAATGTTTTCGAGCATGATTATGTTTTTGAACGAAGTGAATCGATAGCGAAATCTGTACATGAAATATTTTTTTAAAATACTGACTGTAACGTATTGCATACAGAATATTATAGACTCCAAAACAATCGCTATAGAAATTTTTCTCTGTTGTGCACGTTTCAGCCAAAAAGTACTAAATCAATTTTAACTAAATTTTGTGTAGTAATAACTTATTACTCGGGTCAACATTTATGATACCTTTTACTGCAGGCGAATCTTTAATTTCACGAAAAAACATGGTTAACTGGTTATTTTGAGTCGTCCTTAGAAAGCTAACGCTAGCGTCTTCGAGTAATCGGTGAACATATATAAAAAAAAGATTTCGACGAATTGAAAACCTCTTCCTTTTGGAATTGGAAGTCGGTTAAAAATAGTTTGTACCTATTGACAGGTGCTAGAAAACTCTTTAATGGTTTACGAGCGAGAGTGAATAGAGACGACACCATTTATTGTGCCATTATTCGTCTACACCTTAATTTTAACAAAATACAAATTAACCACTGCCCCCTCAAAATATTCTCTTTCCATTGAATTAGTCTATGAATTGTATAAGCCTGGATAAAAAAACTTTTAATTTTTATTTCATTTGGCGATGATTAAGGAATATAAATGAAAATGCTTGAAGATGTCTAAAAAAACATGTATAGAATATACATATGTATAGTGTATATACAATAATCTAATAATGGGTGTATATAAATGTTTGTTTTGGTTTTTAGAGACCTTAATGTACATACGAGTATGTTTGGGGTTTACGCCTATAAATTAAATATTTAGTTTAAATAAAAAACAAATGAACAAAAAAAATGTGTAACGTCTTTTGATTTTATTTTCGGTTATTTTTTTAGAAAAGTGCCGACATAAAAAATATATATAGAAGGATATAAAAATATATTATATAGAAAAATATAGGTATTAATCTCTTTCATACTGGAAGGGTTTCCACAAAATTAGTAAACGTGATTTGTTTCATATGAATTCATTCGAACCGTGTTTGATATTATGCAGCATTTGCATCATGTCATTCGAGATAATTAATTTGCTTTCTCTTTGTCGACCGTAATCATCAATTATATTGTAGTTAATTGTGTTAATTCATATTACCATTAGATATATGAAGGTTAATTAATATAAAATTTATATTATTGTGATAATTGAATATTTCTCTTTCATTTTGATATGGCGTAGTGACATGACTGTAATAGAGTTTGTTTTGAAGCGAACGCGATATTCAATTTTGGTGCAGACACGTTAAT